ATGTGCACTCACCAGAAAGAGAGAGAGAGACAGAGAGAGAGAAAGCATGGCCACAGGGAATGGCCACATGAAATCCCTTCTCTTCCAGCTCTCCCTCCGTATGGGATTGTGGGCATATGTGCACATACCCTGGTATGTTTTTAAAGGTAAGTCTTGGACTGAAATCATGTTGTCAGCCATGTGAGATCCATCCGCCTTAACCTCCAGGTCATGGGGTACCTCATGCCTGGTCACTTCTTAAAGGGCTTGCCTCTTAATGCTATCACACTGAAAAGCCCTGAATTCTAAAAGACAGACATTCAAACCACAGCATATATCCATTCTACAATGAGCATAGAAGACAGCGTGTCTGTAAATCAGAATTGCTGTATCAACAGTCTACATTTGATGGCATTTGGGCACTTTTGTATCAGAGTTCAGTCCAAGCATTAAAAAAGGGCACTTTAGATAAGATACAGTAGGAAGTTTGCATTCTGACCATTTGCAGGAGTTGTTTGTTTGATCTGACTCTACTAATTTTATAGTCTGTCTTCCCTGCTGTAGTGTACGACCATTGAAATCTCTACTAAATCTTTTTAAAGCTTATTTTTAATTTTAGCCTGTCCTCCTAGGGCTTGTCTTTGCATTACTTGTCAGCTAATGATTTGTCAGTTTTCCTTGGGTACCGTTTGCTAAGAAGCTCTATGTGTGGTCTGGGGGGCCATATTCAAAGTTTGGGCAGTTGACGGAATTGCCATGTCCTTTTCTTTCTGCTCATACAAGATCTCAAGATGAGCTGGGCATGACTAAAGAACTGACTCCTCTGTTCTTTACTGAGCACCCGCATAGCCCTGAATATATATAGTCGTTTTGATATCCAGCATTGTTTCAGTGCTTTTAAAAGTCCACATGGTTATATCTTTCTCTACATATTTCTTTGGAAATGTTGACTGGTTTCTTGCTTTCTCCAAATAGTAGCACAGTCTTCAGCATCTGTGATTTGACCTTTCCTAAGTTTTCCATGACTTGTTTCTGTGGGGCCAGTGGGCTTCTCTAAGTTCCCCAGGCGATATAACTTCCTCCCAGTCTTAGGACATTTCTTTCAGTCTCTTAATTTTGGCAGAAACACACTTTTGTCTACCCTGGTAAACAGTTCCAAGTGTTAGTAATAATAAGAAGTGATTAAGATGATCATACATTACCATTGGAAAAGTAAAATTGTACATTACTTTTTTTTTTTTTTTTTTTTTTTTTTTAAGATTTTTGCCACAGAGTCCAAGTGCTCACCACAGAGAAACAGTGAGAGGGAAAGTAAGAAACCACCTCTCCCCCAGGAGGCATGGTCATACCACAATTCCTTCTCCTCCATTCTCCTCCTGGGACCCTGGACACACACATGCATGCCTGGAGTGTTTCAAGCCTCCAGGTCTGGGACTTGAACCACAGTCAGCCATGTGGAAGTCCAGGGCCTTAATTGCTACACCACCTGCTGGCCCCATGTATGTCATTTCTAAAAAGTGTTTGGTTGGCCAGCAGGTGGCATGGAGATTAAACCAGTTAGATCCCATATGGCTGACTCTGAGTCCTGGACCTGGCAGCTTGAAAATCACACTGGATGCATGTGCAAGCATGCCCAAAATACTGAGAGGGGATTGGAGAAGAGATTAAATCATGGCCATCCCCCCAGGAGGTGATTTCTCACTTTCCTTCTCTCTTTCTTCTCTGTTGCTCTTCAGCAAGTACACATGCTCTATGGCAATACACACACACACACACACACACACGCACACACACACACACATATATATGTGTATACATAAAAAATATATGTGTATATATATATGTGTGTGTGTGTTTGTATGTACACATATATATGTGTATATATATATAAGTATTTGGCAATTTCTTACCATGTTAAGCATAAACTTGCCATTTTAGCCCATGATCCCACCTTAAGGTATTTACTGAATGAAATGCAAACCTATGCTCATGCACAAACTTGCACGCACAGGTTTACAACAGATTTAACTATAACCAATAAGAACTAGAAATGAACAATTGACCGTACACATATAATGAACAAACATTATTCAGTAATGAACAGGACAAACTACTGACACATGAAACAAATGAATGAATTTCACATATGCATTATTCTAGGTAAAACAAGACAGACTCCAAAGGCTAGATACTGTATGATTTCATTTATAGGATTTTTTTTTTTTTTTTTTTTTTTGAGCAAAGGCTGACAAAGGACAGAATAAGTAGCTTCTAGGAGCCAAGGATGGCAGGAGCTTTTAATTATAAAAGAATATAGGGGAATTTTTTCAAAATATAAGATTGTTTTTTATTTTGAGTCAGATGGTGGTTACATGATCATCTACATTCGTCCAAACTTGTAACTGTACCCTAAAATGCATGATGTATGAATATTACTGTATGTAAATTACAACTTAACTGAGAAAACTAATAAATGACAACAATAATACAATTACATATGTGTGCTGGATCAGCAAATAAAGCCAGGTCCCTGCAGACAGATAATGGCTTCTTTAAGTGGAGTAAGGACCTGTTGATGCCCTCATAGGGGCCTATTCTCCTGAGATCTTTCTATTTCTAGAATACCTTCCTTGTTACCATTCATCATCCTCTGAAATTTCAACATGATTATTCTGTTTGATATCATTTCAGCATGTCCAGGCTTTGGGTAGAGCTCCTTTAGTAACTTATTTACTCATCTGAATGTAGTTAGCTCAGGTATCTAGATGTGAATATATAGATATACACAAGCTGGCCCTTCCCTATACTGAGGATTTTTTGTGAGTCTGCAGTCATGGACAGGGAAGACACCCCAAAGAAAAAAATGATATGAAATGTGGTTAAAATGATAACCCTTTATTGAGTTGTTGTATACACCTTTTTACTTGCTATTTACAGACATAATTCTGTGAATCAGACAGACCTGTTTCTAATATGCTATCTGTTTCACAAATAAAGATGCTGATGTTGGCATAGGTTAAGTGACACTTCTAAAGCCACGTTTTGAACAATGTCTATGAAAGCGTGTCTCCACTAGGATTTACATTTTCTTTCCTGTCAGAGTTTCAAGCTGATGACTAAGAGTTCAGAGTTTCTAGTACCTGTTTTCAAGGAGCAAGGTAAGCTTTTATATTTTTATACACAGTTTTAATGAGAACTATAACACAAATAAAACCAGTAGGAGAGCTGATGTATGAGTTAGCTCAGAAGAGAATGCCATGAATATTTTTTTTAAGTTGAACTAGAATACCAGTAGCAAAGTACTTCTCCCAAAAGATAGATTCCATGATGTTGATGAAATACTATGTTCCATTTCTGAAGAAGATGGGGAAATCATTAGATGATACTCAGATCGATGCTCACTCTGTTTACTGTCATCCTCTGTTATTGTGAGGGAAACTAACCGGAACAATTTGAATGGACAGTTTGTTAGGTTCAAGAAGAGCCCTCCCAAAATTACTAGAGCCAAACTCTATTTCATTATTTTTGCTTTATAGTATCACCCCTTTCATTATATCTAGAAAATCTGACAGAGCAGCTGTTCAGAGCCCATGTTGCAGAATGAATCATATCTGCATGAGAATTATGAATTTACTTTATATTAAGCAGATTAATTTAGAAAATAATTCAGCTTCCAAAATTTTGTTTTCTTACCTATGAAATATTGGTAATAGCACTACATTTAACATTGTCAGGAAGATGAACATATAGATATGTGTGTGTGTATATATATATATATGTATTTATATGTATATCATGTTCACACAGAATAGTTTATGTCCCCAAAACTTATAGGCTATATTCCAATATTATGTATGTCTGACATATTAAACATAAATGCCTATCAAGGATAGGAATGCCAAGTGAACTTGAAAAATAGCCAGGAGGAATATTGGAGAGACAAGTTGTTACCAGAGAATGGATGTCATGCCAAAGTCTCCAAATTCAAATTTAAAACTTGCCACAGAACAGATCTGCAGACTAGACTCAAACCCCATCATGCAAATTTTCAATCCTTCATTCCTCTAAAGAATGAAAATAAAGTGAGGTGGAATGAATTTTAGAAAAGTACTTCACCTAAGGACTGGAAGGAAGTGTAAGCAAGATAGACTAAATGTCCCTCTGTTTGCACGTGAAATGGATAGAATGGAGTGACAAACACTGGAGGTCCTAGAAAAGGCTGAGTGAACCCAACAACCAAGAAGAGCAACTCCAGGAGTGAGCCTGTACGGTGGACTCACGGCAGTTGTGTGAGCAGAAGGAGACCAGAAGCAGATACAGACCACTCTCGGCCAAAAGTTCTCCCTTCTCTCATTTTGTAACGTCCTAGGACTTTCCAGTCACCAGAATCGGGAGCTATTAAACTTTGTATCTTTAAAATTCACCAGCCTCAGATATTTCTGCTAGCATCACAAAACGAGCATTTTACAAAAGTACGTTCTTAATAAACTTAGGTGACATGATTTGGGAAATGTATTTATGGCAACTGCGTGAACTTAGACAAACAATATTATCTTTCTGAACTTCAGTTAGAAGTGTGATCTGTGAGAATCCTTTAGCTTCAGCAATCTGTACTTATATTGATCATGTATCCCTTAACTTTGGTTCAAATTTTTGTTTTAACTTAGAGAATCATGAATAACAGAGAAAACAATGAAATAACCAGGTATTTAAATATTTCAGTGTAGTCTTTTTCTTCCATTTACCAACTATTCTTGTTTTTGTTCATTACCACAGAGAATTTTTAGTTCCCATGGATAATAGTACAGAGGTGAAGAATTTTATCTTGGAGGGTCTAACCAATGTTCCAGCTCTTCAGCTTCCTCTCTTCATTTTGTTCACCCTCATTTATCTCAGCAGTATATTTGGGAACCTGGGGATGATCCTGTTGATTTTCTTGGACCATCGTCTCCACACTCCCATGTACTTTTTCCTCAGTAACCTATCTTTGGTGGACTTTGGATACTCCTCAGCTGTCACACCCAAGGTCATGGCTGAATTCCTTCTAGGAGACAAGGTCATCTCCTACAATGCCTGTGCTGCTCAGATGTTCTTTTTTGTAGGCTTTGCCACTGTGGAGAATTACCTCTTGGCCTCCATGGCCTATGACCGCTATGCAGCGGTGTGTAAACCCCTGCATTACACCACCACCATGACCACAGGTGCATGTGCTTGCCTGGTCATAGGTTCCTATATCTGTGGTTTTCTGAATGCCTCCTTCCACATTGGGGACATATTCAGTCTCTCTTTCTGTAAGTCCAGTGTAGTCCACCACTTTTTCTGTGATGTCCCAGCAGTCATGGCTCTCTCTTGCTCTGATAAAGTCATCAGTGAGGCGATTCTTGTTTTTATGTCAAGTTTCAATGTCTTTTTTGCTCTTCTAGTTATCTTGATCTCCTACCTATTTATATTTGTCACCATCTCGAAGATGCATTCATCTCAGGGACATCAAAAGGCTTTATCCACCTGTGCTTCTCACCTCACTGCAGTCTCTCTATTCTACGGGACCGTCATTTTTATGTATTTGCAACCTAGCTCCAGTCATTCCATGGACACAGATAAAATGGCATCGGTATTCTATGCTATCATCATCCCCATGCTCAATCCTCTGGTCTACAGCTTGAGAAACAAAGAAGTCAAAAGCGCACTCAAGAAGAGTTTTGAAAAGGCAAAGTTATCTCTAGGATTGGGATTTTAACTGCATTATGCACAATGAATTAAGTTTGTTTCTTTTGGATTATCCACATGTTCAGCTCTACATGGCCCTCAAGTCCTGAAGTCATATCCTCATCACTTCAAAAATCTATTGCCCAGAAAAAAGAAAACATGTCCCAAAATGTATCATCTGACTTATGATGGCTCAGGGGATGTATAAAATGTTTAGCATCCTGCTTGTTGAAAATTTTACTAATTGCTTTTGATTTAATAACTTGTGCTGCATGCATTTTCCCTTCCACCTGCCAGTGCAAGCATGCACATTAAGCCGTGGACAAATATTTCCATGAACAGAAGCATCTGAATCTACTTCATATGGACAAGTGGGCACATACTTTTGGCAATATAAAATTTGTCAGAAGTATATAAAGAAATACTTCTTTACAATTAAAAAACAATCTATTAATTCATTAGAACTCTCTTTTTTTGGTAGATTTTTTTTTTTTGCCTTAGTGTGCATGTACTCACAGTAGAGAGAGCTACAGAGATAGTGAGAAGGAAAGTGAGAAATCACCCTCCCGGGGAGATGGCCACACTGCAATCCCTTATCCTCCATTCTCTTCCTGGGATCTTGGGCACACACACACATGTGCCCAGCAGGAGTTTCAAGACACCAAGTCAGGACTTGAACCATCATTGGCCACGCGGGAGTTCAGCAACGTAACTTTTATGCCATCTGCTGCCACCTATTAAAACTCTTAACAGCTGTGAAAAGGAATTAAGTAAATGATATGCAGGTAATTGATAATAAAATAATTTTAAATAATTAATTGAATTACTAGAATATAAATTGATATATAATTTTATTAATTTAATTGAATAAGTGTTCTAAGAATCTTAATTGGAGAAAAAGTATAATTCTAAATGAATCCTCTATTTATATTTTATTGAGGAACATGGATATTACAACCTAAATAAAGTAATAGATTGAGTCTTTGAAGGAACAACATATTCATATTCATTTTTAAAAAAATTAAAACTGTAGAATACAAGAGAAATGGAGAGAAAATAAAAGCATCTTCAATTTATTTATACATGACTGCCAACTTTCACATTGTTTAAAAAATTGGGAAATTTGCTAAAGAATGCATTTTATGTGCTCTTGAAACAAGTAAAGGTAACTACATGGGATAATGGATTTATTAATTTGCTTGACTTTAGTAACCATTTCACTATGTGTGTGTTTGTTTCACTTGACTGTAAACCATTTCACTATGTATGTGTATGTTGCCATACACCTTAAAATACATTTAAAAATACACTGGACGTGTCAGTAATGTATATATTTTTTGTCTGCAAATGCTGCGAGATGATTAATGCTGCACATTTGTTTATACTTTCATTAAGATATCTCACTCCGGGCCAGCCCATGGCATGGTGGTTAAAACATTTGGATCCTACATAGCTGACCACAAAGTTGAAGTCACAGACCAGAGCTTGAGAAACATGCCAGGTACATGTTCATGTGTGCCCAGAATCCTTTAAGGAGGGAGAGATGGAAGAGAAAGGATTGTAGTGTGACCATTTCCCATGGGCAAGCTTTCTTGTTTTCCCTCCTTTTTCTCAGCCTGTCTCTCCAGTGAGTTCATTTAAAAAATTCAAAGTGAGATTTATCCCAGGTATGCAAAGCTGGTTTAGTATTTAAAAACCAATTCATGTGATTTACTATCAATATGGTAAGGGGAAAAAAAGCATATGATTGTATCAACAAATGCAGAAAAATGGTTTGTCAAAATTCAACGCTCATTCATGATAAACAGAAAAGTCTCAGTAAACTAGGAATACAGGAAGATTTCTTGACTTGAAAAAAAAATACCTATGGGCCAACTCCATAGGTTTAAGGCAGCCAGATACCACATGACTGACCATGTGGTTTGGGTATGTACCCAATAGCTTGAGAAACACTGGGTGCATGTGTGTGCATCTCCATAATTCTGAAAGGAGAGAGAGATAGAAGAGAAAGGACTGTGGTGTTAGCCTTCTCCCTCTCTCTCTCTCTGTCTCTTTGTCTCTCCCTGGCAAGCACACATGCCTTTTATTAAAAAAAATAAACAAAACCCTACAGGTAGAATTATACTTAATGGTGAGAGACTAGAAACTTTCCTATTAGGATCAGGAATGAGGAAAGGATGCCCTCTCTAGTCTCTCATTTTCAATATCATACTATAAAAATCTGTCTGATAAGAGAAGAAAAGAAAATGAAATGGATACTTACTAGGAAGGAATATATTAATATATTTTTTTGTTCTCAGATGACATAATTGTGAATTTCAAGCCACCAGGTATGGGACTTAAACCACAATCAGCCATATGGCAGTACAACACTGTAACCACCACACCACCTACTGGCCCCAATCTATAGCATTTTTATACACCAACATTGAAAGACTGAGGAAGACTTGAAGAAAGCAATTCCATTTTAACACTAGCCATGGTGGGGGAGGGGGGAGAAAAAGTAAGCCACCTAGGAATAAACCTAACCAAAGAAGTCAAAGACCCCAAGAAAAAATATGAAAAACTGAAAAAATAAATTGAACATGATGCACAAACATAGAAAGATATAACATGTTCCTGAATTGGAGGTATCAATATAATAAAAATGTCAATTCTACCTAAATTAATACAAAAATTCATTGCACTTCTGATCAGATTACCAGGAGATATTCTTTGCAGGCATAGAAAAAACAATTATAACATTCATCTGGAGTCATAAAAGGTCCCATATCTCCAAAGCAATACTGTGCAAAAATAATTAAGTAGGAAATATCTTTTTACCTGACCTCAAAATATATTACGAAGCTGTGATAAACTAAAGAGGATAGTATTAGCACAAAAACAGGCATGTAGACCAATGGAACAAAATAAAGAACCCAGAAATAAACCCCAAAACATAAAACCAACTGATTTTTGACAAAATCAAAACACACTCCGGCTAAGAAAAAATAAGTCTTTTCAGCAAGTGGTGCTGAAAGAATTGGATATCTACCTACAGAAAAATTAAACTAGACTCCTATCTCTTACCATTAACAACAATCAACTCAAAATGGATCAAAGATCAAATGTAAAGCCTCAAGTTTCAGATAAGGGACTAATCATCATAATATATAGGGAACTCAAGAAGCTTACCCACAAAACTAAAACAAAAACAAAATGAAACCAAAAACCAAAATCAAAACTGTCAACAATCCAATTAAAAAATAGGCAAGTGAATTGAACAGACAACTCTCCAAAGAAGACATACAAATGGCCAAAAAAGCATATTTAAAAAATGCTCAACATCACTTATCATAATGGAAATGTAAATCAAAACCATAATGAGATACCATTTAACCCAGTCAAAATTGCTATGGTTATAAAAGAATGACAAGTGCTGATGTGGCTGTGGGAAAAGGAAACCCTCCTCTGCTGTTAGCAGAAATGTATATTAATACAACCATTGTCAGAAATGATATAAAGATTATTCAAAAACCCACCAAGTAGAACTATCTAAGATATGACCCAGAATTTCAGCTCCTGGGTATTTACCCAAAAGATAGGAAAATATTCAGTCAGAAAGATGGTTGCACATCTATGTTCATTGAAGCACTATTCACAATTGTTAGGACATGGAATCAACCTAAATGCCCAGGAACAGACCAGTAGATTGAAAAAAAAAATGTGGCACATATACTCTATGGAGTACTACTAAGCCATAAAAAAAAATGCCATGTCATTTGATGCAAAGTGCGTGAATATAGGAGATTTAATGCTAAATGAAGCAAGCCAGACTGAAAAATAGACATTATGTGTCCCTGCTCAATATATATAGAATGCCTGTATTTTATAGCAGAAACTGAAATATTGACAGATATAATAGCAGGGATAGCAACTGTAGATACGAGATACTGAAGAGAAGGGGATAAATACTGGGGTTGGGAGGAAGGGGCTCAGGAAAGAAAAAACAAAAAAAACAAAACATCATTTAATAGACACAAGAATGGAGAGTTATCATTGGAGATAATGTATATGATAATATATTTGACTTGATTCTCATGCACTGCATGCATGCTTTGAAACATATTATATGCAATAAAGATATAGGGGGACCAGCAGTTAGTGTAATGGCTATGTTGCTGGACTCCCATGTAGTCGACCGTGGTTTGTGTGCCAGACCTGGTGTCTTAAAACTCACGCTGGAAGTGTGTGCGTGCGTGCCCAAGATCTCAAGAGGAGAATGGAAGAGAAGGGATTGCGGCGTGGCCATCCCTCCGGGGGGTGATTTCTCACTTTCTGTCTCTCTGTCTCTGTATATCTGGTGAGTGCACGTGCCCTATAGCAAAAACCTCTCCAGAAAAAAAAAAAAAAGATATACAATGATTCATTATAAATTTAAAAAGCAGGGACCAGCAAATTGCATAGTGGTTATGTCCCTAGACTTCCAGGTAGTTGACTGCAGTTCAAGTCCTGGACCCGACAGCTTAAAATTCACAGCAGACGTGTGTGTGTGTGTGTGTGTGTGTGTGTGTGTGTGTGTGTGAGAGAGAGAGAGAGAGAGAGAGAGTGCTCCAAATCCCCAGAGGCGACTGGAGGAGGAATTGAAGCATGGCCCTCCACCCTGGGGGGGAGAGTGATTTATCACTTGCTGTCTCTCTGTCTCTCTCTGTCTCTTGAGTGAGCCCTATAGCAAAAAACAAACAAACAAAAGACTCTCTAAATAGATAAATAAAGAGCATGTCATGAAACTAATAAATAAATAAATAAATAACTTTTCTATCAGTAATGAACATGTGGAACTTAAATGAAAAACATAATATTATTTACATTAGCATCCAAAAGAAAGGAAAAAGAAAGAAGGAAAATGAATACTGGAGTCAGCTGGTGGCATGGCAATTAAGGCAGCTGGATCCTACATGGCCAACTGTGAGTTTGAGTCCCTGATCTTTTGCCTTAGAATCTGCCAGGCACATATGCCTGCATACCCAAAATCCCGAGAAGAGACTGCAA